CAATATGATTCATACCATTTTTTACACTAATGCAGTAGTCAGTATAACAGTAAATCTTCTATTTTTTGTGACAATAAAAATTCAAAGTGGAAAGCAAAAGAATGTAAGTGGGGCCTTGAGACGTGACTAATGAACAGAGGAAATGTCATTTTAGTGCCAGGAATGTATTTCTTGTTTGTTCTGGACCCTATTCGGAAATTGGCATCTTTTGAAATTTGTGTGAAATTGGCAAAATTGCTAAATTCTGACCACTGTACTGGATAGTTGAAATTGGTAAATGGGTGGTTTCTTGCACTCAATCAATAGAAAAAATGGAGTTCTAGCGAAATATTCATATTTTTTGTCGACTAGTACAGTGGAACTGGCCGAAAATGGGGCTCAAAGTGGGCAAAATCGCCGATCCGTAAACATCGCCGAGACGGCTAACTTCGTGAGAGCATAATTCCGTAAGTTTTCCATCAAATTTCATATTTTTGGTGTCATTGTGATCGGGAAAAGATTCTCTATCTTTTCATAAGATTTTTTTTTTCTTTTAAATTTGGCCAACCCTGAGAACGAATCTCGGAGAGGGCCTGTCGACCCTCAAAGGGTTAAGGTGGTTTGGACATGCAGAGAGGATGGAACAAAATAGAATGACTTCGGGAGTGTATAAATCTGTAGTGGAGGGAGACAGGGTAGAGGTCGGCCTAGGAAAGGTTGGAGGGAGGGGGTACAAGAGGTTTTGCGTGCGAGGGGCGTGGACTTCCAGCAAGCAAGTGTGAGCATGTTAGATAGGAGTGAATGGAGACAAATGGGTGTTAGGACTTGACTTGCTGTTGGAGTGTGAGAAGGGAGTTAGGGAAACCAGCAGGCCGGGCTTGAGTCCTGGAGATGGGGAGTACAGTGCCTGCACTCTGAAGGAAGAGTGTTAATGTTGCAGTTTTATAACTGTAGTGTAAGTATGCCTCTGGCAAGACAGTGATGGAGTGAATGATATAAGTTTTTCTTTTTCGGGCCACCCAGCCTTGGTGAGAGATGGCCGATGTGTTAATAATAAAAAAAAATTCAGTTTAGTGAATGTCAAGCACTATGCTACTTGCTGGACTAAGGTTGGGATGCATCTTTAGCACTTATCTCATCAGTCAAGACTTGTAGCTTTGTTTCAAGGCAGTGAGTGTAATATTCTTTCACAAGTGCCCTGATATTATTTATACCATTTCTACGCCATTTCTACACGAATGCAGTAGTCTGCATAACATAAAACTTTTATTTTTTGTGAGAATAAAAATTCAAAGTGGAAAGCAAAAGAAATGTAAGAGAAGCCTGGGGACAGGAGTAATGAATGGAGGAAATGTTATTTTAGTGCCAGAAATGTCTGTATTGTTTATTCTGGACCCTGTTTGGAAATTGGCATCTTTTGAAATTTGTGTGAAATTGGCAAAATTGCCAATTTCTGACCACGTTATTGGATAGTGAAAATCGATAAATGGGTGGTTTCTTTTACTCATTCAATAGAGAAAATGGAGTTCTAGTGAAATAGGTATGATTTTTGTCAACTGGTACATTGGAATTGGCCGAAAATAGGACTCAAAGTGGGCGAAATCGCCGATGCGTAAACATCGTCGAGACCGCTAACTTCACAAGAGCATAACTCTGTAAGTTTTCCATCAAATTTCATACTTTTGGTGTCATTATGATTGGGAAAAGATTCTCTATCATTTCATAAACAATAATTTTTTTTTTCGAAAAATTTCCAACTCTGAGAACAAGTTTAGGAGAGGCCCTGCCGACCCTGAAAGGGTTAAAGTTAGACATTTTTTACTGATGAGGACCTGACAAATCTAGAAGCAGTGCTCTGAAATGATGTCTAGAACAGCTGATGCCTTTCCATTAGCTGTATAATGTACTGCAGGGTAAAATAGCCCAGAAATCCATAACAGAATTTATGCACACTCCAATACAACCTTACTTCAGTACCAGAACCTATACCATCCACCTCAGCCCAGTAGGACCACAACATAACTCTCCACTCTCTTCACAATCATCCACAAACACCAGCACCTACAATTTAAGGTAAGAAATACTATTATTTCTGTTGCTTTTGTAGTATTAACCCGTAAACGGTCAAAGCGTATATATATGTTCTTACTGCTAGCGCCCCAAACGTATACGTACGTTTTATTTTTCCTGTTTGTGGGAGCGCCAGCTAGAGCAAACAGTGCGGCAAACACCAAGGATTCACTGACGTAATGTCATATTAACATTCCCCTTTTAAGAGGAAAATGATGTTAACCCCAAGTTTAGGGTCTGTCTATTTGTGCCTGTCTATCTCTGTCTGTCTCTGTCTATCTGTCTCTGTCTCTTTTTATCTGTCTCACAGGTACACACAAATACAATTATACATAGTGTAAATTACCTAGGATAACCTAAAAAATCCGAAGTGCTAAACTGTGCTTGTAGATATAATGCATAAGAATACCAGTTGATTCACAGTGGCTCTCTCTGAGACAGACAGACGGACAAGCAGACAGAGAGACAGATAATCAGAGATACGAGCTCATCAAATGTCACCCCTTACCTCTGCACCTTCGCTGGCGCCCATCAAATGTCATAGCTTATCACGTCTTATCTCTGCACCCTCGCTGGTGCCTATCAAATGTCATCTCATATCTCATCTTACCACTGCCCTCCCGGATGCTTGTCACTGACACTTAGTCTTACACATTGCTTTAAGCGAACTTCTTCCTTTCTTCCTCCTCCTCCTCCTCCTCCTCCTCCTCCTGTCCTCCTCCTGTCCTCCTCCTGTCCTCCTCCTGTCCTCCTCCTGTCCTCCTCCTGTCCTCCTCCTGTCCTCCTCCTGTCCTCCTCCTGTCCTCCTCCTGTCCTCCTCCTGTCCTCCTCCTGTCCTCCTCCTGTCCTCCTCCTGTCCTCCTCCTGTCCTCCTCCTCCTCCTCCTCCTCCTCCTCCTCCTCCTCCTTTTCCTCCTCCTCCTCCTCCTCCTCCTTTTCCTCCTCCTCCTCCTCCTCCTCTTCTTCCTTCTTCCTTCCTTCTTCTTTTTCTATACTCCCGTGTATCCAAAACATTGCCGGGACCTATAAATACTTTGTATATATTCCTAGACAATAGTAAATGACCAAGGCAGGTGTAAATGTCCACCTGTCAATGTGTTTGTGACAATTTCAGTACCTAATATTAGTGTCAGAACAAAGATTGGTTATGAAATGACAAGAACTACAATAAATTGTAATAATCAGAACATAAAAATTATATAAAATAATATAAAAATGAGAAAAAATGGTATATCGGCAACACTAATGCAAGTGGCAGGACTCGATGTTGCCGTCAGGTGAGGATTAAGTGCCAACTTGGCAGCCTCATATCTCAGTAAGTACTGACCCTAATTTTTTTATTTTCATCCTATAACACTTAGAAAAAATGTGCTCTTTATTTTCATTAAAAAAATTATTTTTTTATTTTTCAAAATATTCGGGCCACTGGGGTAGTGAACGTATATATATATGTTTGGACTGTTTACAGGTTAAGCAGTAAAAACAGCATAATACATCATGACAATGAACAAAATTTCATTTCTTTCAACAACACACCGGCTGTATCCCACCGAGGTGGGATAATTAAATTATTAAATTATTCTTTTATTTTTGTAAGATATGGAGGTCTAAAAAAAAAAGTTTGATTTTCGAAGCTCCCAGGAACATAACCCTATTTTTCATGAAAGTTCTTCAGTTTATCTCACACGGCATTTTCAGGAATGTAACTACCATGTAATATAAAGGTCTGCTCTATTTCATTTATTTTAACAACTGGTGAATCAAAGACACATGGACAGAAGAAGTTTTGCTCCACCTCATGCAAAGCATCGATAAATAAAGACTTCATCTGTCCATGTGTCTTCGATTTATCAAGTTGCATATTTCAGTAACTATTGAAATGTAGCTATTTATATAGGTGCTCCATCACATGGCAGTTCAGTACCTTTTTTCCCTTGTCCTTATGCATAGGAAAAGACTGCAAACAGAAGACAAGTGCAAGTACCACTTGGCAGCATCATCTGGTAGAACCATTCCCTCTTTCTTTACCAAACTATTTCTCGGCTTTTTCTAGGTGTGGAAATTTTGAATTAACTAGCTACATTTATACTATTTGTTTGATGTCTTTTGGCATTTAATTAATTCAGCACCTAATTGTGAGATTAATAGATTGAGAAGCTTAGATTCACTCTCAAGTGATGGATAATGGCATTATCCACAGACAAAACTTGTTTAATATTGTGAGTCACTTCAGAAAAGCATGTTTTAAAAGGGTCAACAAAAACAAATGTTGAAGACAGAAATTGCTGTTGTACTGTAATACATGTGATACTGATCAAATATAGGTCAGACCAATACATGTCAAGGTCTAGTGGTAAATGAAGTGCAGTTTTATTTAGGTTTGATGAGTTGAACAATTTTAACAAAAAACTTGTTTTGTGCACAGCATATTGACACATAATAATAGTCTGGAGACAGAAAGGAAACTTAAGAATGGGATACTTACATTGATAAATGCCTGTACCTTGTTTTTGTGCCTTAAAGGACAAACAAGGAAACAGAAGCACTACCTGCTACAAGTGCCTGATCAGCCAGGGTGTCATAGTTATGTAAATTTGCAGGCTATTAGAAGGAACAGTGTAGCTGACCAAGCATTTTACAAAAAATCTGACTTCATGCTGGGCTGAGTGTAGAATGTTTAAAATATGTCACAGATGCATTACAGGTACTGTGTGGTAACACCAAGAAGTACTGTACAAATGAAAGCTAAGAGACTTGTATAGTTTGGTAAGGGTTAAAATAATTTATTAAATTACTGTTAAAGATAAATTATTTTTTTCTTTTGCTAGGGCCTGGGTACATAAATTTTTGGTACCTAAATATTTGTAATTGTCATGATAATTATATTTTATTAAAAGGCAGGTAGAATTATTTCCATAGGCTATAATTAAAAAGCTTGATGAACTTGACTAGACTCGTGTCTTAATTCTTTCCAGCAAGTACCACAAATTGGACATACCTCCTCTGTTCGTAAGGATCCAGCTGTCACAGAAGATATATCTTTTGACTTTGATTCTCTACAGAATTCAAACTTAGATCTAAGTGATGTTAAGGTAAGTGTGTGTAAATTTTCAAGATGGGATTCACATGAAGCATATATACCTGTTGTAGACAAACAGTTTTAATAATTCTTGTCCAGTGTCATGTGCCTAGTACAGTTTAACCCTTAAACTGTCCAACTGTAGATATACTTTTACTCGCATAGCACTCCGAACGTAGATCAACATTTTATTTTTCATTCCTTCAAAACTGAGGCGATAGGCCTGAGTTGCCTAGACATGAGAGAATAGGTCTTAACACTCAGTGTGCACAGTATTAAAAAATCTGGGACCACTTAGTACCTTGTGGGAGCACCAGTTCAATTGAGCGCCAGCTAGAGCAAATAGCGTGGCAAACACCAGGGATTCACTGATGCCATGTTGCATTAACACCCCTTTTAAGAGGAAAGTAAAAATAGATTAGATAAATACATGAGTGGGTGTGAGATGGACCTGACTAGCTTGTGCTACTAGGTCTGATGCTGTACTCCTTTCTTCAGTGGATGTGACCTGACTAGGTGGGTCATTGGTCTAAGCTGGGGGGTGACATGGACCCTCCTTGCATGGACCAGTAGGCCTGCTGCAGAGTTCCCCCTTTCTTATGTTCTTATGTATTCGGCAGGCTGGCCGGCTAGCTGGCTGGCTGGTTTTGGCTGTCTCTGGCTCTGTCTCTATCTGTCTATATCTCTGTCTATCTATATCTGTCTCTCTCACATGTACACATAAGTACAGTTATTATACATAGTGTAAATTACCTGGGATAACCCAAAAAATTCCAGGCTCAGTGCTATACTGTACTTGTAGATTTTTTTTTTTTTTTTTTTCAACAAGTCGGCCGTCTCCCACCGAGGCAGGGTGACCCAAAAAAGAAAGAAAATCCCCAAAAAGAAAATACTTTCATCATCATTCAACACTTTCACCACACTCGCACATTATCACTGTTTTTGCAGAGGTGCTCAGAATACAACAGTCTAGAAGCATACACATATAAAGATACACAACATATCCCTCCAAACTGCCAATATCCCAAACCCCTCCTTTAAAGTGCAGGCATTGTACTTCCCATTTCCAGGACTCAAGTCCGACTATATGAAAATAACCGGTTTCCCTGAATCCCTTCACTAAATATTACCCTGCTCACACTCCAACAGATCGTCAGGTCCCAAGTACCATTCGTCTCCATTCACTCCTATCTAACACGCTCACGCACGCTTGCTGGAAGTCCAAGCCCCTTACCCACAAAACCTCCTTTACCCCCTCTCTCCAACCCTTTCAAGGACGACCCCTACCCCGCCTTCCTTCCCCTATAGATTTATATGCTTTCCATGTCATTCTACTTTGATCCATTCTCTCTAAATGACCAAACCACCTCAACAGCCCCTCTTCTGCCCTCTGACTAATACTTTTATTAACTCCACACCTTCTCCTAATTTCCACACTCCGAATTTTCTGCATAATATTTACACCACACATTGCCCTTAAACAGGACATCTCCACTGCCTCCAACCGTCTCCTCGCTGCTGCATTTACCACCCAAGCTTCACACCCATATAAGAGTGTTGGTACTACTATACTTTCATACATTCCCTTCTTTGCCTCCATAGATAACGTTTTTTGACTCCACATATACCTCAACGCACCACTCACCTTTTTTCCCTCATCAATTCTATGATTAACCTCATCCTTCATAAATCCATCCGCTGACACGTCAACTCCCAAGTATCTGAAAACATTCACTTCTACGACATAAATAACCATGACGCAATATGCATTTTTGCTTGCTCGGGAGGAGGAGGACAATGAAGAACTAACCACTGATGAGCTGATAGATCAACTTCAACAGCAAGAGGCCAGACCTGAGGAAACTGGTTCAGAGGAGGGGAGAGAGAAATTGAAGAAGTTGCCTACTACAAAGATTAAGGAAATCTGTGCAAAGTGGCTTGAAGTGCAAACCTTCATGGATGAAAATCACCCTCACACAGCTATTGCAAGCCGTGCTGGTGATTATTACACTGACAATGTTGTGAAACACTTTAGGGAAGTCATAAAGGAACGAGAGGTACAGGCCACTATGGACAGATATGTTGTGCAAAAGAAGTCCAGTGACTCTGAAGCTGGTCCTAGTGGCATTAAAAGAAGAAGGGAAGTAACCCCAGAAAAGGACTCGACACCTCAAGTCTTAATGGAAGGGGATTCCCCTTCTAAACACTAACACTTTCTCTCTCCTCCTCCCATCCCATCAATCATCACCAGATCTTCAATAAAAGTAAGTGTCATGTAATTGTGCATGCCTTTTTCAGTTTGTGTGTATTAAAATTAACATTTCATGTGGTAAAATTTTTTTTTTTTTTCATACTTTTGGGTGTCTTGCACGGATTAATTTGATTTCCATTATTTCTTATGGGGAAAATTCATTCGCATACCGATCATTTCGCATAACAATGAGCCCTCTTGCACGGATTAAAATCGCTATGCGGGGTCCACTGTAATCCATTCCAGACACCCAAAAATATTAAAATAAAATATTTTTTTCAAATTAAATAAAGATTTACATACTGAAAACAATCAGAAATCAAGTACATGCATATCAAAAATAATAATAACATTACACTTACCTTTACTGAAGACTTCTGGGTGGATGGAAGATGGGAGGAGGGGATAGGAGGAAGGTGTACACTATTGTTTGGAAGGAGAATCTCCTTCCATTAGGACTTCAGGTAGCAAGTCCTTTTCTGGGGTTACTTCTTCTTTTAATGCCACTGGGAACAACTTGAGAGTCACTGGACCCTTGTCGTACAAAATATCTGTCCAGAGAGGTCTGTTTCTGGCATTTCTTTATGATTTGCCTGAAGTGGGACAAGGTTTTGTCACTGAAGATGTTGTAGATATGGCTTGTTTCAGCTTGGTCAGGGTGATACTTTTCAACAAAACTTTGCAACTCATTCCACTTTGAACACATGTCATTAATCACCGAAGAAGGCACCTCCTTCACTCTCTTTTCCTCTTCCTCTGAAGCAAGTTCCTCAGCTGTGGTCTGATGCTGTTCCAATTGAAGCTCTTGCAGTTCGTCAGTGGTTAGCTCTTCCCTGTGACCCTCCACCAACTCTTCCACATCCCTGTCACTCACCTCCAACCCCATGGACTTGCCCAATGCCACAACACCTTCCACAACAGGCAGAGGGTCGGCAGGGTCAGGGTCTGCCTCAAACCCTTCAAAATCCCTCTGGATCCTGTTCTTCGCTTTCTTTACCAAAGGGCTTGCACTAGCTTTTCTTGGGCCCATGGTGACTTATTTAGCAATTGCAATCGCAAAAAACAATGGATTATTACGTATGAACCCGTGGGGTGATGGTCACGTGTTGGTAAACAATGGCACACTGAGCGTGAATGGCGTGGGAGACTGGCTTTGTGTGTGCGGTGACGGGCGGACGGGTACCGGACGGTCGCCGAATCACGAGTCTAATCACGAAACTCGAGGCCAAATTTTACCGAAAAAACTTGCCGAAAGTCGAATTTCACGAAAGTCGATGCTGCCGAAACTCGGGGGTCCACTGTATTTGAAGTGCTATGCGAATGAATGTAGATCTACGTTTGGACAGTTTAAGGGTTAACTCATTCGTCAATACCACAGTCCCCCCCCCTCCTCATTTTTTCACAAAATTGTTTCAGAACTGATATATGCTTTACCTTTTGCCATGTAATGAACTACAGTGTACATGTGTATACCATATACATTTTCAGCCTTGCAACTATAGAGTAGTAATTTCAAGAACTAGTTTCATTTGAAATTTTAATTATTGAGGTTGTGTGTTTTGAGTCTCATGTCTTCATAGTACTCTTACCAAATTGCTTTACAATTGTTATGTATAGAATTTACCTTCAATTAATGTAATATGTCGTATGCATTTTCATTTTATTCTTCACCGGGAAGTGGAACATAATTATTCCTCAATTAGCCATGTGTGTTGTAAGAGGCGACTAAAATGCCAGGAGCAAGGGGTTAGTAACCCCTTGTATACATTACTAAAGTTAAAAAGAGAAACTTTTGTTTTTCTTTTTGGGCCACCCTGCTTTGGTGGGATACAGCCATTGTTTTGAAAGAAGATTTTTCATCTTATCATTATTAAAGCAATTAAGAACTAACTTCATTATACTGTACATCCTCTCTTCACTTAACAATGGAGTTCCGTTCCTAAGACCTTGTGGGTAAACAAATTCGTTGCAAAGTGAGGAGCATACTATAATGGTAGTGGGTTTGTGTCAACCATCTTTGATATTGTTTTAATGTCACCTTTGCACCATTTATAACATTTCTGGTATATTTTAAAATGTTTATACCATAGTGTACTGTATATTGTAATAAACAGAATAGAGGAAATCAGCTCTAATATGCATTATTTAGGTATGCATGCTGGTCAGAGAGCCTGTGGTAAATCCGAGTCGTCGGTAAACAAGTACGTCGCTAAGTGAGGAGAGGTTGTCTTATATTTTTATAGGGCTCTTGTTTTCTTAATTGTCTACTTGTATCTCTAGAATGGTTTCAAAGTTGGTTTCTGTATTCTATAACTTTTATGTCTTGAACCTCTTGGGGACACTTTTAATGTGTGTAACATGCAAGTGTTGTATTTGGGTTAATATTTAAACTTCTGCTACATAAGTAACTTAGGTTCTGTTTCTTGATAATTCTGGTTAAGATAGATCAGACTAGAAATTGTGTGGGTAGCCACATGGACACAGCCATGACCTTGGCCAGTGGTCCATAATAATAAAATAAAAAATAAAAATGTTTATTTCCTTGTAAAGCTTACAATGTGTGGTTGACATGTTATTTTTTTTTTATTAGCACATTGGCCATTTCCCCACCAAGGCAGGGTGGCCCAAAAAAGAAAAACTTTCATTATCATTCACTCCATCACTGTCTTGCCAGAGGTATGCGTACACTAGTTATAAAACCGCAACACTAATACCACTCATTCAGAGTGCTGGCACTGTACTTCCCATCTCCAGGAATTCAG